GATGTCCTTGACCTTCCTCGCGACAGAGACGACTGCTCATTTCGACTTTCATAGTAAGGCAACTGTCTTGCTCCTTTTGCAGGTGTGATCGAGGGGACCTGGCACCAGCGAGTGTGTAGAACTGGAACCCCAAGGGCCCCTCGCGTGCATCAGCCGCTGCCGCGCACTGCCTTCGTCATCATCCTCCACTAGCGGCCGAGCTGACGTCACAATCGCCAGGTGGGTGTGCTGGGAAGGTTCTTGGATTCTATGGGAGAAGACGTGTTGCACATGGATAGACGAGTTGGTGACGGAGGGGGATTTCGGTATGAAATTGTTGTACCTTGGTAAGGTGCGGCGTGTAGGGAGTACGGCATGAAGGTCTTTCCCCGTATGTTCACTGCGTGGGTGCCACTTTGTGTCCGTTCGTGATTTAGTGATGTCGTACATACGTTCGGAGCAAAGTTTCTTGCGGTGGGTGTTTCGTGGCGCGGTGTTTTTCTCCTGTTGTGCCGGCAAGCAGCAACAGCAACAGCGACAGCAAAAGCACAAAGGCAGCAAACTGCAAAGATAAGGTCAGCAAACACAGATAGAAGCTGCAACACCGGCCGGTGGTTATTGTTGCGGTGGTCAGTGGCTTGTATTTCTGTGCGATTGTATGTATGTATGTATGTAGGTAGGTAGGTAGGTGTTCAAATGTGGGTGAGAATGTGCTCTCTCCCTCGCGCGTGTGTATGTAGTTGTGTGTAAGAGTATGTGTGTGTGTGTGTGTGTGTGTGCGTGTGTGTGTGTGCGTGTGTGTGGGGATGCTACTGTTTTAATTGTGATGGAGAATTCGAAACTGCCCGCGATCCGCCTGTGTGCTTATTAGTATGTTTCTGCATTTTGTGCGCAGCTGCTCATGTTGTTTTGCCGTGCAAAGTCTGTGCTCGTTGCGTCCCCTGCTAGCTGATTAACAGCGTGTGTGTGTGTATTTCCCCGCCCACCTCCCGCCCGATCCCCCCGCCGGTCTGAGCGAGCCTGGGCGAGGACTTACTTCAGCGTCTCGCCGTCGGTCGCCTCGCCGTCGGCCGCCTCGCCGTCGGCCGCCTCGCCGTCGGCCGCCTCGCCGTCGGCCGCCTCGCCGTAGGCCGCCTCGCCGTCGGCCGCCTCGCCGTCGGCTGCCTCGCCGTCGGCCGCTTTGCCGTAAGCTTTTGGCGTTTCCGCGTCACGGTTTGTCGTACCTCCGGTGAGTCACGCGCTAGTTAAACGCATCCCTTGTCTGTGCTGTGCATTTCCTTGTTGACGTTGCCCTATGTACGTCATTGTACAATTTTGCAGTGCGTCACGTCTTGTTTGTTAGTTGGTTGTAAAGCGCTGTTGTCTGTTGTGGGTTTTTGTTGTTGTGCCGCATGCGACGTGCTTGTGCAGTCTTATTTTATTTGCATCATAAAGCAGATCATGGCCGGGCAGCAGATCAGCAGCTGATAGGCAAAACAGCAGATCAGCAAACATCTAGGAAAGACAGCAAACGAGACCAGGATACCGGCTTTTAGCAGCACGTGTGCCGTGGTGTG